TTTCAAATTTAATAGAGTATATAACAAAATCTAGACGGTGCATTTATAATTTATTCAAAATAAAATCATATATGCCGAAGGCATATTACTGTTTCGCTTTTTTCCACTTTGCTTATCCATTAAGAAAAGCTGAAAAGACAGTACATGGGATGATGCCATGCTAGATTAAAATTGTGTGACATAAAGTAAAAGGAAAAATTAAGTAAATACTTTTGTAAAAATAAATATTGAAATAGGTAAAGCAATACATAACATGTAAAAATATTTTGAGTTATCTAAAAAATACCTTATACTTCAATTATGTATTAACACGTAAAAATATTTTGAGTTATCTAAAAAATACCTTATACTTCAATTATGTATTTATTTATTTATTTATAACATTTTTTTTCTTTTAATAACAATCCGATGAGCTTTAACAAAGTCCTATAATAGAATCTAGGCAATTTAATTTGGAAATGAGAGAAAATCCTCAAAAAAGTATTACGCTTGTCAGTCATATCATTTTCTTTAATTTTTTACATATATTTTCATAAAAAGTCAAAAAATCAATTAAAATAACTAATTTCTAAACAGACCTAAGGCTATGATTTGTCTTTGGATCATATTCAGCTGGCTTGTTTTTAATTTTTCAAAAACACTTTTTAGAAAATTTTACTTACTTGTTTTTTGTGTCTTTTTTTTTGTTTTTACTAAATTTTTTTAAATATTTTAAGCAATTTTTAAAATTTTTAAACACACCTAACATAAATACACATAAAAAATATAATTTTTTTGAAAAACATCTTTTAAAAATTCACTAAATATTAAAAACACAAAAAAAAATGAGAATTCAATATATTTTTCATATTTTTATGTATTTATTAATTTTTAAAATATTTTTTCATAAATTTTTTACTTTTTAGATACATCTAAGTAAGGTGTATCTAAAAAAAGTAAAAAAAAAAAATACTTAAAATTTTAAAAATATTCACTAAAAATAAAAAAACACAAAAAACAAATAACTCAATTTTCAAAAAAATTAATCTAAATAACTCAAACCAAACACAAACATTTGTATTCGACATATGTAGTCGTGGCTTGTAGACCAATTATAGGTTTTACTCTAACCATTTAGTTTGTTTATTTTTTAAACATTTTGTGTATAGATCATTCACAACCAATATATATTGATTTGATAATCATAATCACATATTCGTTTCATATTTGTCTTAAAAAAATAAACAACAAGATTGTTGTTGAATTTATGAATTTTAAATGAATAGATTTGATATCAATAATTTAAAGGATTTATAACCTTTAAGTCGATATAATATTTTAAATTTAGATATCAAGAATAGATTGTATAATGATGTATTTTAAATAATTTTGTAAAGATAATTATTTGAAATCATTCCATAAAAGATTTTAGGAAAAATTGGTCTAGGGTCCCTCCCCCACTTTTCGTAATGGATGAGATCCACGATATTATTTTTTTATGTGTAAGGTCCCTCCCATCTATCACAAAGAAATTCAGCCCCCTACATTTTCTCTACTCTCACTCATCACCACGATCAAACACGCACACACACAGAGTTCACTGTTCGTGATCGGAAACGCAATCATCATCACTCTGTTTCTAAAATACAGATCGATCATGGAGAGCTGAGATGATCGTCGGAACCCGGCCTGCCTTTCCTTCTTCAATGGCGCACTCTAGCAACCTCCTCTGCGACGAAGACGGCATTTGCATGATCTGCAAGAAGAAGTCGGCGGAGGACGAGACCATCACCGAGAGAGTTTGGGAGCTTGTGTGTTGCTGTGTGTGTATCTCTTTTCTTTTCTTTTTTTTTTTTTTACACCAACAACCACCAGCACAATTTTGGAGAAGATGCGAACTCTAATGCTGCTTCGGTTTCTTCTTGCTTGGCTCACTCTCGTTTCATCTAGCTCTAGCTCTGGCTCTGGTAATTAAATTCTTAGCTTTATGCATTGTTTGGTTGTTAGAGTCAAAGGTATATATTATGGAAGGCAACATCTCTGGGTTCAACTCTCTGGGTTGATCCAGAGATTTTCTCTGGATCTAGGAATTTCCCAGAGAAATTCTAGGAATTTCCCAAAGAAATTAGTTGTCTTCATCCATTGCTAATTGGGCCCCTCTTGTGGAAAATGACCCAGTCTGGAATTTCTCTGGGTTGTGGAGTCCAGAGAAATTCTGGGTTGAGAGAATTTCTGTAGAAAGGTTTGTCTGGGAATTTCTCTGGGTATCTGTCTATGAGCGTGTTCTGGTTAGCTCCTCAATTCATCATTCTTGGGATTGGAGATGGGTTTACACTTGTTGGCCTACAAGAGTACTTCTATGATCAAGTTCCAAATTCAATGAACTTGTGTGTGTACGTGTGGTATATATATGGTGTGTGTTTGGAGTAATGAACTGAATTTTTTTTTTATTTGAACTGAATTTTCTCTGGGTTGAAACCAGAGAAATTCTTTGGTTTTTTAATTGAATTTTCTCTGGGAGCAACCAAGAATCAAATTTTCTCTGTACTCTGTTTTCTCTCTCTCTCTCTCTCTAATTTTATAAACACACTTGTGTGCTTGTTTTTATGGAATTTGATCTGGTATTGTCATAATCAATTCAGTGGGTATGGCAGTGAATGAGAGTGGGAGTGGAGGCAATGGTTCATGGTTGATAAATTCCGAAGTCAGAGAAATTTAGTGAAGACACATTTTCTCTGACAGTGTCCATGGCCAGAGAAATTCAAAATTTCTCTGGACCAATTTTCTCTGACTTGAATTTTCTCTGACTTGAATTTTCTCTGGACCAATTTTCTCTGGATTGATGTTGAGGGACCTTAGACATCATGAAAATATTTGATGTCCTTTATACTATAAAATCATAATATCAGGGACCTTAAAAAAAATACCCCAAGATTTTATTTGTGTAAGAATTTTAACAAAATACATAAATTGTATCTATATTTATTCACCCACTTTAGAGTTATCATCCATATAGAGCCTTTGGTCAGTGATTATATAGCACCATTTCATTGTATGAAGTTGAGTTTAAAAATTTTAAGGAGACGAGTTTGATACCCCGTGTTAGCTATTTTTTTCCTACTAATAGCTAATAAACTCACCTCACACATTGTGACCAAAAAAAAAAAAAAAAAACAATTACCTTCAATAATTAATCTTCTTATAATTTTATAAAATTCAACCTCAATCCATCCGCATACAATTTTAGGTAACGTTTGGTAGAGCTTTTTAAATATGATTTGAGAGTAGGAGATGTATTTTGAGTTTGTGAGTTTTAGAATTATGATTTGAGTGTGAAAAATTTGTTTGGTGAAAGAGTTTTGAAAAGAATTTTGAATTGAGTGGAGAATATTTGATGTGACATATGATATTTGATACAAAAACTTATAACTCATAACCAAACATACAACTCAAAATTCATTAAAGCTCATAAATTTTTTTTTAAAATTCTGAAAATATTTTTTCGAATATATAAAAATTAACATGTGTCAATTGTAAAAATAAAAAAAATATTTGTACTCTTCCGGTCAACACCGGCCGGACGACCGATTAGTCTAAATTTTCCCGCCTTCGACTGAGTTTTCAAAGTGAGAGTGAAATTAATTTTTGAAACTCGTAACCAAACATCATGTGTAAAATAAATCCTATGAATGGTTGTAAATGATCATTAAAATTGGATGAAGTCGTATGCTTGATGATTAATATTTTATTTCTAATATTATTAAAAATTATTAATTGACTTGATGATTTATTAATAAAAACATAATCTGTAATTTCCCCAACATAGCCTTATTATTGTTTTTCATTTTCAAGAAAAAAAAAAAGTGCAAAAATTGGATGAAGTCATATGCTTCAATCTTTGGGGCGAAACAAATAGCATAAAGAAATTGAATATATAAAAGACAGACTAATAAGTTCTAAATATGATGTAAGCGGTTTTTGAATCCCAATTAAATCATATATATTCCTTTCACTTTGGGGCACTTTGGAAAGATTGGTAAAAAATCAGTTTTTTGACTTTTTAATTTTTTTAGTTAAAAAAGTCAATTTTTTTTTATCAAAAATAATCTAATTTTTTGTCAAAAAAAGTCAAAAAATCGATTTTTTACCAACTTTCTAAAACACCATAAAATATTAAATTTTTTAGAAATTTAACTTTTTTTAGCATAATTATTACATTTCAACAATATTAATTTTTATAATATAATTTTTTTAGAAATATCAATTATTATAATTATATTTTTTGTATTGTTAATGAATTTAAAAGAATGATAAAATTAAAAATTTTATGTTATTTTTGTTCTTAATTTTTGAAAAGAGATTAATATTTTAAAATAAAAAAAAATAAGTGATTAATATTTTGAGAGTAGGGAAGTATTTAGTATGTTTGATTTCAATTTTCTGAAAATTGAATTTTTTAATTTTTAGTGAATATTTTTAAAATTTTAAGCAATTATAATTTTTTTTTTAGATGTATCTTAATTAGATATATCTAAATAGTAAAAATTAATAAATACACAAAAATATGAAAATGTATTAAATTTTCATATTTTTGGTATATATTGAATTTTTTAAAGATTTTTTTCACAAATATTATACTTTTTAAATATATTTATCTTAGATATGTCTAAAAATTAAAAAAAGTTATTTAAAATATTAAAAAAATTCATCAAAAAAAAAAAAAAAAGTTTTAAAAAAATTTTATGGAATCCAAAACCAAACAAACTTAGGCCTCGTTTGGCAAGAGGCTTACTAAATTAGCTAAAAAGTCAATAACTCATACCAAAAGTCAAAGATTCTCTTTTCTCTCTAATTTTTGCACATCTTTTCGTAATTAGTCAAAAAGTCATCCCAAACATATAAATTTTTTTTACCTACTTTTTTAACCAAAAAACCAAAAAATTACTAAATTAGTCTGTTCCCAAACGAGGCCTTACTAGTTTTGATGAGATCCAAGACGATGCATGTGAATTTTAATCGCAGATCAATTATTAGATACTACTACATAGTTTACTAACTCATTACATATATTTTCTCGCTAAAAAGCGTCTCCCTCAGTAGTCAGCCTCTCTCAGCTTCAATGGCCGGCGGCGGGGGCGACAACTTTCCGCCACGGTCTCCGCCTCCTGACGGCGGGGAGTTTCTCCTCCAGCTTCTACAGAAACCACCTCACCAGCCCCCAACACTGCCGCATCAAATTCGACAGCCACCGTCCTCCGCCGCCACGCCACAGCCTCCGTCTCCGGCCCAAAATCTCTCTCACGATCCGGCTGTGGCAGCTGTGGGCCGTTCGCTCCCCTTGCCTCCATTTCAATCCAACGGTCACGATCTTCCCTACAATCGTCCGACTCCTTTTCGTCACCCTCCACTCCCCTTGCCTCCATTTCAATCCAACGGTCACGATCTTCCCTACAATCGTCCGACTCCTTTTCGTCACCCTCCACCTTTCGCACCTCACAACTTCTTCCCCCAAGGGTTTCCCCAAAACCCTAGCCCTATCCCTAACCCTAGCCCTAGCCCTAGCCCTAGCCACAGCCACAATTTCCAATTCAATCGCCAGCTTTTAACTGACGACATCCGAAAACTAGGGTTTTCAGAGCCGGTTCATCGCCATGAGCAAAAACTCATGTTTGGCTCATTCCCTTGCGAAATTCGGAATAACGAGGGTGTGTCTGATAGTAATATGCTTAGAAATATAGCTCCAGCAGCTAAAATCGATGGTTTGTCGTCTAAAGAGAGAGAAATTGGTGAAGGGAATAGGGGAATCAATGGTTTGGAGGTTGATTTTCAAAATTTTCCCAATATTAGTCGAAACCCCAGGTCCAATTCAAATGCTTTTCAGAATCAAGAGCCAGAACGAAGAAATAGTGGCAGCGGCGGGAGGTGGGGGAACTCATCATCCGAAGTAAGACGGCCACCTCCAGGGTTTTCAAGCAAGCCGAGTAATATAGGGAATTGGGATTCTGGGAAAAAGAGGAGTTTTAAGCATAATGTGGATAGAGAAAGGAGTAGTTTTGGTGATCTGAGCTACGGGGCTTCTACTTCAAAGAATGAGGGTACGAGAGAAAAAAGATTGTTGCCTGAAAATAGAAAAATTGGTGGTGATTTGGTGGCTGAAAGGAAGCTAAGTAGTAAGCTTGATTACCCTGGTCCACCGGCTGGAAGTAACCTTCACTCTGTTTCAGCATCTGACATTGAAGAGTCTTCAATGGAATTACACGGTGAGATTGGTGAAAATGGGGAAAAACCCAGGTACAGGTTGGAGGAGAATATGAGGAGGGGTGGTGGTCCTGGTCAAAGTGAATTAAATGATTCGGATGAGCGGATTTTGGGTTCTTCAGAAATAGAGGATGGGTCTGATGACAAGAAAGATAGAAAGCAACATAAAAATTCTCGTGATAAGGTAAAAGCTTTATACTTTGGTCTTCTTGGTTGTACTCTTGCTGTTAGTTGTACTAATTTAGATACAGAATTCATGAATTAGTTCCACATGCAAAGGAACTCTAGTTCAATTTGAAATGAAGTTAAGGATCTCATATTCTTGAGGTTTCCTTTGGTATGCTTACCTGAAATTATTAAGAAAATTTTAGATATCAACTCTCAATCCACTTATTGGTGTTCATACTAGAGGTTTTTGTTCAGACTGGTCTACATTGCTTTCTTAACAGTGCTCGATTTGATAGAATTTTTCAGCCTCAATGGAGACCTTTGTTTCACAAGTGAAGGGTTGTTTCCTAGTTTCCTTGTGTGACTAATACATGGATTGCTTTTAGATGACAACATATAAAAAGAATGCTTTAAGGAGTTCTATTAAAATCAAGAAATACAAACCTGCCTGCCATCTACACCAGAATAAATAAAGTTTTCTAGAAAAACCTGCAAGTGGGGGAAGATACAGTGATAAGAGGTAAAGGCCTAAAGTGAGATCTTGAAAGGATCTTCCGTGTATAATATTGTTTGGATAGTCTTAACTCACTAAATGACATAATATGAACCCTTATTATTATGTGCCAATCTATCCCATGCCATGATAGGAGGCAATCATTAACTTGCCTACCTACATGGCATACCACAAGTGACTTCTTGGAAGCTACAGAAAAGCTTGCGGGGAGGACCCACAGGGTTTCGGTTTTTTTTTTTTTGGCATAATGCAGCCTTTGGTTCTCACAGACAGGGAACTTGTCATGCACTAAAGCTTTCTCAAAACATCATTTACTGAGAAATTTGAGCATGGCCCTTGTTCATAATTGAATTGGGTAGCAATTGTCAGGGGACTCGGGACTCAAGAAAATTCAAATATCAAGCTTGGCTAGATTAATGTAGTGGCCACAACATATACATGGGATCTGTGTTACATGGATTCGTTGGTTTAGGTCAGAGTACTCGTGTTGACATGACACGATACGACACGGGTGCGGGTGTGAGATTTGTGTCAGACTCGGCTAATATGAGAGAAGAGTGAAGAAGGATTGTTGAGAGTGAGAAACTTACAGTGGAGAAGGAAGCGAATCTAGTGGAGCGATCGCCATCTCAATCTGTATTCTTTTCCGTCTATCTCTTGATCTTCTTCCATTTGTCGATCGATCTTCTTCTCTCTCTCTTTCTCTCTCTCTCTCTCTCCTTCACTGTTTGTTTTCTTCTCCAATCTTTTATCTCATTTATAATATATATCTTTATCTCATTTATCACACATATATATATACACATGTCAATTAAAAATAATGTATATACATAAATTAAAAATTGACATATATATTTAAAATACATTACATTATCTTTTATCTCATTTAATCGACATATATATATGTCAATTAAAAATAAAAATGTTTATATTAATAAATTAAAAAAAAATTATTAAATATTTTGTTTCTTATTTGTATGATATGTGAGACCTACAAAATATGATAATGTCAATAAAAAATAATATATATGAAGTATTTCTAGTATTACTCATACAAATAATGTATATACATTCAATTTTTTAATTTTATATTTCATGTGCCGTGTCCCCGTATCCGTATCTATTTTTTAGATACTTTTTAGCCGAGTCCCCATACCCTCACCTTTTAGGAATAGGCGAATTTGACACTTAGACACATACCCATATCCGACACCCGCACCCGAGTCCGTGTACATAGCATGGGATCGATCTTGTTAGTATGATTTGGTACTTTGGTGGCTGTTGGTCTGCATTATTAGCCACACCAACATATTGGGAAAGAAAATTTTCAATATTTGGTGCTGCAAATTATGAATTTATTGATGTTACCTTGTTCCTTTCAAAAGCTTTATTGTCTTATTGATGCTTAACAAATTTATCTTGAGTAATGCTTTTGGGGGGTGGAAGACTGGGAGGAAGGACAAAAGGACTTCGGAATAGGAAGGGGAGACATTTTGTTGGTAAAGATATGTGTCACATTTGGAATGTAGGTATTCGGTGGCTTAATAAGGATATAATGAACTTTCTTTCCTTAGCACTTCATTGAACCTACTGTGGAAAGTGATTGTTCTTCACTTTTCTTCTTTTTGCTAAAGCACTGTCCAACTTTATAATTTATTGTACCTTTCTATCTCTCCTACAAAAAAAAAAGAAAAAAAGAATAATGAATGTATATATATATCAATTAATGTGGATTATGGATGTCATTGAACGGGGGTTGAGTGGCAAAAGGTATGGTGTGTGGTTTTAGCAGCATTATGGAATGTGGTATATATGTTAGCGTCTTATCTATGTTGCCTGCTGGCTTTGGATTTTGGTAGCAAAGATTGTGATTCTATACAGTTACTGCAACATTTCTGGTAAGATTTCTGAATTTTTCAAAAAATGCACATTTCTTTTTTGTTTTTTCACTGAGCTAGTTAATGCATAATTTAGAGTTCCTATATTGTAAGTGTGTTAAGTAGTGATAGAACTTGGGCATTCAAGCATGTAAACCCTGGTTCAATTATGAGGGAAGCTACTTCATGCAAAATTTGCCAGAGGTTAGGTTTCGGCACACACTTCCTTACTGGCATGCCAATTTGATAGGACAACACAATGGTCTTTTAACTGAAAATGGGAATTAATCTAAAGGGAGGAATGAATATAACTTGTGGTTTCTGATTTTGTGCGAAGCACATATGGAATCGTACCTTGCTAACCAAACTTGTGAAAAGGGAGGCTAAAACATTTTTCAATGTTTAGCATTACACTGCAGTTCCTTCGTGGAAACACCTCTCCGCATGCAGTGTAAGGCTTCATACATCTGACCCATCCCAAACCCTGCAGTGGTGGGAGCCTCGGGACTGCTCTGCCCTTTTACACTGGTTCCTTCAAGTAGAATTTTTTCCAGACCTTTCAAGAGTTCTGTTTTGTAAGTTTACATTATTTCTTGATATCCTTGGGAAAAAAGAACTGAAGTTTGAGTAAATAAAGATTTCTTTTGCTACAATTTATTTATCAATTTTTGTGGTGCTACCTGCATGTGGGTACCTTCATTTTTTCTGCACAGTTGTGTGCGTGTTTGAGCTCTTTAGCTTAAGGACACTGCTTTGCTATGTGCAATCAGGATTACAGATCAGATACAAGAGGACAAATGCTTCTTGGTCAGAGGATGAGGAACTCTAAACGACAGATTGAATGTCGTAGAGATATAGATAGGCTAAATGCTCGTTTCCTTGGAATTTATGAGTCCTTAATACCACCAGACGAAGAAAAGGTGAAGCAAAAGCAGCTGGTAACGTTATTGAAGAAACTTGTTATTAAAGAATGGCCTGAAGCTGAGTTGTACATCTACGGATCATGTGGCAACTCATTTGGGGTTTCGAAAAGTGACATTGATGTTTGCCTGGCAATTGAGGATCTAGATGTTAATAAGTCTGAGGTTTTGTTGAAGTTGGCTGATATATTGCAGTCAGATAATCTTCAGAATGTGCAGGTAAATGATGTAGCCTTCCGGCACTTGTGTAATGCACTAACTTCAGTTATCACAATAACTTGCTGTAATGATTTAAAATGTGTGATGCCATCACACTGCATACTGAACTTTTCATTTTAGTCAATACTTAAAGGAGAACCCAAATAATACTTGAAGTTGGCTTATTATTATTATTATTATTATTATTGTTAATTAATAGCCATAACAATAACGATGATAGCACCTTCTCCCTCCTTCACATTACTCTATGTACTATGGAAAGATGAGGGAGATGTGATTAAAATATAAGTTTTTTTTTCCCCACATTTTCCTCCTTTTTTCTTCCCTCCACAAATTCCTATCCAAATTCATGATCCAAACACAGTCTTAGTACTTATAAAATGGAAAAGAAAAGGACAATTTAATATAACTGAAATTTGGCCATGCATATGATTCCTATGGGATCCATCCTGAAATTAGTCTAATTTGCGAATTTTCTATTTTTTGATTTTACTCTTCCTTGGAGCTCGTATGAACTGCATCAGTAATTGGTCTTAATCTTATGGAGGTGCTGAACTGGCATGTATCTAAATTTGTCCTCCTTTTCTTGTGGGGTGTGGAGTTCTTGTTTGGCCTTGTGTTTCCAACTTGTCAATTTTGTCGCTTGTCATACTTGTTTCAGTTTTTTGTGTCATACACTGTCTTTACAATGGCTTGTTGTGGAATTACAAATTTCTTAAAATGAGAAAATATGTATGTTTGTATATTATATAAATTTAATATGGAAACATACGGTGTGTTTGGTTTGTTTGTAGAATAGTTTTTGAGATAAAAAGTACGAAAATCTGTTTGGTTTGCCTTTTTTCAGAAATGGTTTTGGAAAATTGCTTTGGGGAGAGAATTTTAAAAAAAGTGATTGATTTGATGTGTATGAGAGAGAGAGTGATTTTGGAAAGTAGATAACCAAACAAAATTTTGAGATTTTTTTTGAAAAAATTTGTTTGGTTTGATTATTCTTGAAAATTTGTTTGTAGAGAATTTTTCCCAAAAATTTTTCTGAAAAACAAACCAAAAAAGCCCATAATTTTTGAATTCTAATGTTTGGTTATTAAGATATGCCCTGAAGGATGAAAACTTGCGATTTAGTCCCTTGCAATTCCTGTTTTCAAAGTTCTTGTAGTATCTACGTTTGGCAGTAGAGTTTGTGTGGTTTTGGGGCACTTTCACATACATATATAACTGCCTCTGAAGTGAAAAAGTTTGATTTTGTTTCATATTAAATAACAGGTTTTAAGTCAGTTCAGATCTTCTACAAGGGGATTTCTGTTAGATACATAATGGTGGGACTTATATGTTTCAGGCATGGGTTGCAACCACTTTGGTGCCATTTAATAAAGTAATTTACTTTAAAAGAAAATTACTTCTTTGTGTGTGTGTGTGTGTTTGTTTGTTTTGTGATGCTTTGTTAGCAAGATTTGAACTTAAGAATGATGCCACCCTTTTACCACCTGACCTGTGGTCCAAACTGACATTTGACTATTTATGCTAAAGGAATGGAAACAAAGCGCAGATGCAATGTTTGACACAGGCATTAATCCTAGTGTTCTAAGGGCTTGAGGAGTATTACGCATGCAAATTTGTCAAATTGTGGTCATGATGAACCCCTTCTAGCAGGGCTGTTGACTTGTGTATACATCCTTAACAAGAATTTCCAATTTCCCTTATTACTCATATTTTATATTTTTAAGTTCTTGTGTATTTAGTTTTGAATTTTTGATATCTGCTTCTGCGTAATTGTGAATGGGATCGTGTTTCAGGAGTATGCAGTGTTTACATCTTATATGTGAGAGAAAGAGGTTTTGAGTCTTAATGCTTGTTTCTCTAGGGTGCTTAATGTAAGTTTTGTATACAGGCTTTGACACGTGCTAGGGTTCCCATTGTGAAGCTTATGGATCCAGTCACTGGAATCTCCTGTGACATATGCATCAACAACTTATTGGCTGTTGTAAATACAAAGCTTCTGCGGGATTATGCAAAAATAGATGCCAGATTGAGGCAGTTGGCATTTATTGTAAAGCACTGGGCGAAATCAAGAGGAGTTAATGAAACTTATCGAGGAACACTATCTAGCTATGCGTGAGTTATAGCTGGAATGGTTCACGGGTGTTTATTTCCCTACCTATCTGAATTATTAGATTGCTAATAACTTTGATTGCTTTTCAGGTATGTCTTAATGTGCATTCATTTCTTACAACAGCGTAAACCTGCTATCCTTCCATGCTTACAGGTGTGTGCCATTTTATTGCCCCTTGATTTTTAAGAATGAATATATCAATGAGTGTTTGAATGCGCTGGAAACGTGCTTCAATTTGTTATGATGTTGGTAATGTTTTGTGCTTTTGGCATGCTATTATATTTTCGTTTGTTTTGTGAGAATTTGATTGCTCTTCTTCAAGGGCATTTACAGTATGTTACACGGACTCTTTAAAATAAATTAATTACCCTTGTCAGACACCCAACCTAGAAAGCACGGATACGGATACGGATACGGATACGAGATACAGATACGATATGATACGGATACGGCGATATAGCAAAACCTAAAAAAATAGGATACGGGTACGGTTAGGATACCTTTGTGAAAAATAAAAAATAAATAAATTATTAGCAGTGAGCTACACATAAGCTTAAGAATGTTGAGAAACCATAGTAGCTTTATAATGCAAAATACTAATATTTAAGAATTAGGTATTAATTTAAGCTAGTAGTTAGTTTAGTTTTTAAATTTTCAATAGGTCTTGTAAATATTTCATTTCAATATCAAGTCTAACATGTTGATATTATAATATCAAAACAATCCACAACTTGACCCTATGCTTTTTTCTTTTTGCACTAGTTAAAAATATTCTATGCAAGTTTATTTATTTATTGATATTTAATTTTACTATTGTTATATTATCTTATTAATTCTTAATTCTATGTAGTTGTAGGGGACATGCATGATACAATGAAGATATGTCAATTTGATAAATTCTATTACTTTAACTTACTATGCTATTTTTATAAAAAAAAAACTAAGCAAAGTATTGTAAAAATATTCTATTTATTGTCGCAATTATATTTTATTATGATGTTATGTAAGAAATGATACAATTCTAATTTTGTAAAGGAGTAATATGTGACTTGGAGCATTTGATACTTAAAAATTAATTAAGAAGTAACCAATAATATGTGATTTGGAGCATTCGATACTTCAAAACTAAGTATTCAATACTTCAAAACTAAGTATCCAATATTTCAAAATTAATGAAAAATTAATTAAGAAGTATCCGATACTTTTAATAAGTATCTGATACGTATTTGTAAGTTTCCAAGGAGTATCGGTATCCGATACGTCTTCCTATTTGAAGTATCCGTGCTTCATAGCACCCGACTTGGACAAGGGTATGGGATATGTGTCGGACAGTTTTTAACGCATATTTCTTATATAATTGTATATAACACTATTATTATATGTACATATTATTGTATGATTGCTATAAATGTCTTTTTGATACTGTAAATTACATATATAGCACTATTTTATCTCACATGATTGAAAATATAAAAATATGATATTTTTTTGCTGAGTCTTGTACCCTTAAATTTATGGTTTGATAAGTCTGACCTCTAAGTACATATTCGCACCCAACACCCGTACTTGAGTCCATGTAACATACTCTTGTTGATGTAGTACCACTCTTGGTACCATTACATCTGTGGTATGAATCACTCGTTTAGGTTGTACTTAGAATAGAAAATAGCCATGATAGTAAAATTGAGACTGTAATTTCATGAAATTACCTTCATCAGGTGGTTAGTTTAATCATTTCAGATGTTACTGAAACCGTGTGGAGTCTTTTTCAATTGCTATGTGACATACTGTGTTATGGTTCTGATGGATTCTAGTAGTGACTTTCATGTATGTTTTCAATGGAATGCTTACTAATGACATCATCTCTGGTGTGTGATCTGTTTGCTTCAGCTTTAAAGTTTTGGATAATAATTTTGTCATTGTTTTTCTTGTTTGAAGAGACTTTTAAGATGTTTGGCAAGTTAAGGTTTTAGCCAAAAAGTCAAAAAGCCATATAAAAAAAAAAAAGGTTGAAGATTCCTTCCAATCTCTCTACTTTTCTCAAGTTTTTTTTTTGTTGGTAAAAAGCCATTCCCAAACACTTAAATTTTTTTCACCTCATATTTTAGTCAAAAAGCCACTAAAAAGCCCCCTCCCAAACTAACCCTTTGATAACCTGTTACTATTTATTGGGGTTGAAGTTTTTATTTTTGTGGCAATGAAAATATTCATGAAATGGTTGTAGTTACACCAATCGAAGATAAGTTGAGTGAGAACAAATTAAGATGGTAAATTAAAGTACAACAAAGATTTGTAGATGCAACAGTAAGAAAGAATATGATCACCTTAAAAGGGAATGTTATAGGTTCGATCCAAATTGGCATAAGGTGGGTGTTTGAGAAGTTGCTATTTTAGTAGGCTATTTTAGTTTTTGGCTAATTTAGTAGGCTAAAATTTTTGTGTTTGGGAAGATGATTAGATTTCTTTTTAGTTGGATGTGATATTTGCGAGAGAAAAAAGTGAAATAATTATGGGTTTGATGTGATTTTTTGTCTTATTGGTTATTTTAGTCTATTTTGTCTTTTTGTAGATTTTAGCCTAAAAAATGCTACAATTTCACTTCCCAAACAGGGCCAAGATGTGGTAGTAAAAAAATATATGAATTTATTTTATTCAAATGAAAATATAGTTTTTTACAAAACGGAATGGCAAAAAAGAAGTCATGTAGGCGATCCCACTTGAATGAGACGAAGTTTGGTTTGGTTTGGTTTGGCTTGTGTATTGGACATAGGTTGTAAACAAGTTAGATCCTTTGTTTTTTAGGAAATCTTACAATGCACAATTATTTTACTGGGTGTTGGGAAACTCCTTGAATCATATGGCTGAAGCCCCGTGTTGCACCTTGTGCCCATATCAAAATTTATCGAATCTTCTTAGGATGCTGACCTGTTCTCGACATTCTTCGTTTTGAACCATGAAAGCAAGACATGTAGAATATGCCTATCCTAGACTTTTTCACTATGTTGGGCTTAAACATATGGTTAATTTTTCTTAGTATGTATTTTCTTTTAGGTTGATTTTTTGTCTTTTTGTTTGATTCATCTCTATTGGGCGTTGGCATCTGCCGTTTGTTGTTTTCACATTGGTTCTGACTAGCAGATCATTTAATCAAACATTTGTTCCACTAGTGTTCTGTACACAGATTGAAGTAACGAAGCACTTGTTTCAATCATTTTTCTATTAATTTTTTTCGTGCCAATCTAGAAGAATAAAGGTGATGTCCAGAATTGTAACAACTATAAAGGAATCAAGCTAATGTGTCATATAATGAAAGTGTGGGAGAGGGTGATGGAACGTCGATTGCGAGACAAAACAGAGGTGTCAGAGAATCAATTTGGGTTTATGCCTGGTAGGTCAACAATGGAAGCGATCTACCTTTTGAGGAGAGTAATAGAAAAGTATAAAGAAAAGAAAAGAGACATTCATATGGTGTTTATCGACCTTGAAAAAGCATATAACAGTGTCCTGAGATATAATATGGTGGGTGTTAGAGAAGAAATGGGTGACAAAAGGCTACATTGACTTGATTAGGGACATGTATGAAGGGGTGGTGACCACTATTAGATCGCCAGTTGGAGAGACAAATGAATTTCCTATCACTGTAGGGTTACACCAAGGATCTACCTTAAATCCTTATCTTTTTGCTTTAGTTATGGACGAGTTGACGATAAATATACAAGATGACGTGCCATGGTGTATGCTTTTTGCAGACGATATTGTGTTAATGGATGAGACTAGAGAAGGAGTTAACACAAAGTTGGAGATTTGGAGAAAAACTCTTGAATCTAAAGGATTCCGGATAAGCAGAACTAAGACAGAGTACATGGAGTGTAAATTTAGTAATAGTAACAATGAAAGCAGAGGAAAAGTGAAGATTGAGAACCAAGAACTGCTTAAGAGTGAACATTTTCGTTATTTAGGGTCGATTATCACAACAGCGGGAGAGATTGATGCAAATGTGGCCCATAGGATTAAGGCGGGATGGTGTAAGTGGAGAAGTGCGTCTGGGATATTGTGCGATAAACGAATACCCACTAGATTAAAAGGTAAGTTTTATAGAACGGCTATTAGACCAGCTATGTTGTATGGGATGGAGTGTTGGGCAACCAAGAAACAACATGTAGATAAGATGAGTGTGGCTGAGATGAGGATGCTAAGGTGGATGTGTGGTAAGACTAGACAAGATAGGATTAGGAATGAGTATATTCGGGAATGAGTAGGAGTATCACCGATAGAAGATAAGTTGAGAGAGAATCGTTTGACATTGTTCGACCATATTCGACGGAGACCAACAGAGGCAGTAGTGAAGAGATGCGATGCTGTAACGGTAGATGGAAGTGTTAGGGGACGAGGTAGGCCTAGATTAACGTTGACTAGCGTTATAAATAGAAATATGAATCTATTTAATTTGACTAATGAAATGGCCTTTGATAGGGTCGCGTGGAGAAGAAGAATTCATGTAGCCGATCCCATTTGATGGGACTTAAGGCTTGGTTTGGTTTTCTTTTCTTTTCTCTTCCCCCTGTCAAGCTATAATACCAGATTTGGGGCACCAAAGATGTATCTACTATAATCTTGGATCCTTTTTAATCTAAATATATAAAGTATTTTGTTCGATTACTTTGATTTTCATTTATATTTCTTATGCAACCTTCTTGTATCGATTTAATTGGCTTTTCCCAAATTCATTATCAGCTTGTGCCTTGCCAGGGAATGGAGATAACCTATGCTGTTACTGTTGACAATGTTGAATGTGCTTATTTTGATCAAGTTGAAAAACTTTCCAGTTTTGGCTCACGCAATAAGGAAAGTATTGCTCAATTGGTATGGGCGTTCTTCAATTATTGGGCTTACTGGCATGATTATGCAAATGATGTTTTATCTGTTCGAACAGGAAGCGTACTCAGGTGAGTAGACATTCTATATTATATGAGAATTATATTTCAATTCAATTGTGATATGTGAATTGCATCAAGTTCATAGAATGGAACATGATGTTATGCCAAGTATATCATGTTTTCTCCATTTCTTTTTTTTTTTTTAGGGCTTACGCGATTTTACTTCCATTATATATTAACCAACTTTGCTATGGGCCTCTCACATGAGGAGTTGCATTCATCCAATATTGTCAGGGCAATTTATTAATTGGAAATTCTCTTTGCATAATTGGTTATTAGAGAATCCCCCCCCCCCGTGTGCCATTTTCCCCTTCTCCTGTTCTACTTGGCTATTTGAGAATAAATAGGCAATCTCTTATGATGAATTGTTATTGAAATTTGTCATATATGTAAAAAGAAAGTCTAGTGAGGATGAAATGTTCTTTCGACGTTGTAGTTCTATTATAATCTTGTAGGGGGTTATGCTATAGTACAAGGGCGTAATTTCTCAAAATAACGTGAAATGTCTCTGATTTAGTGGCAGCACAATCATGCACAATATCTCAAATTTGAATCCAAGAAAGTGAATAAATTTATGTTTAAATGGATCGGGGTCAGTTATAGCTTATTTCGAAGGTTATTAATGTTGAACTTTTAAATGAAATAATTAAACTTCTGAGCATATTCAAATGCTAGATATATAACTTGTTTGTGAAAGTTGCAAGCATATTGGTAATGCATGTAAAGTTTAACCTTCTATGGTTGAGAAGCATGAGTTTTGCCATGCATTAGAAGAGGACAAAGCATTATTTGTAGTGAAATGAACAAATATATCCTAGTTTGTGAGGTATATTTGTCTGAAAGGCCATTTTAAACTCTCCTTAACAATATTTTTTTGTTGGCCTTAGTGGTTGTTCTGAGGAAAATATATACTCCCTCCGTCCCATTTTTTTTGTCCACCTTTCTATTTCGGTCCGTCCCAAAATATTTGTTCACTTTCTATTTTGGGTATTGAAATTTTTAGATTTCCAAAATTACCCATTATATTACAAGTATAAACACATTTTAAAATTCAAAATCAAAGGGTATTATGATAAAAGTATTTTAAATTTTGATTTGATGTGTAATGATTGCTTGTCTCCTTAATAAGTTGTATTCCCCAAAATGGACAAATAAATTGGACGGTGGGAGTATACATATTATTAGAAGAATTAGGGTAAGTAGATTAGGAATCATGGTTTAAAATGTTGACTTTTGAATAATTTTAGGTCCTTTTCACATCTAAACTTCGTGAAGGATTTAAAATTTTTGAAATAGCTTGAAATTTGCAAGTAATATCAAAATTTCATAAAATTGGAGCATCAGTTTGAGCCTGCTCCATTTGTGCCCTATTTTTATGTTTTTGTTTTCATTTTTACAGCAAGCGGGGCAAAGACTGGACTAGGAGGATTGGTAATGACCGTCATTTGATATGCATAGAAGATCCCTTCGAGACTTCTCATGATCTGGGTCGAGTGGTGGACAAGTTTAGCATAAGAGTCCTGAGAGAGGAATTCGAGCGAGCTGCAGAAATCATGCAGTATGATCCCGATCCTTGCGTAACGCTCTTTGAGCCATATGTTCCTATTTGACTTGCCCTATTTTTCAGCACAATATGGTTTGTATTTCTGGTGTTGGGTATTTTATAGTGTTGCTGACCTAGCTTGTAAATTTCTCTTCATCATTTCTTCTTCTTGCTTTTGTTTTGTTCATATATATATGAATGTGTATGTATATTTTAGTGGTTTTGACTTTTATTTTGATGTACATTGTAATGAACTGTTTTATGCAGCAGTAATGCTATGTGCACAAAATTCATGCATAGAAACATACCTAGAAAAATAATGTGGTTAATATTTAATTATTATATGATGAATCTTAACCCAGGGGTGGATGGCGTTGTGGTAAGAACATAGGGATTAAGCCCTCAGGTCATGAGTTCAAATCCTTCCCGGACCAATCTCCTGGGCCTAACACAGTTGGTTAGGAGGTTGGACTCAAAGTTGTTTAACAAGCACTTGGTGTGGGTTTAATGTGCACTTGGTGCGGGTTTAATGTTCTCTCGCTGTGCGAGTCTTGACTTAAGCAGAGCTTGTCTTGGGAGGTTGGGGCAAATTTTCAGGTTATAGTCTCCTCGCTCGGAACGGCTAACAGGGCACCTTAGTGATCTCTACAAAAGGGTGCCTTGGACCTGCGAGAGAGTAGAGAGGATTTTCTTGTTAAAAAAAAAAAAAAAAAAAATGATGAACATTGATCACACATTAAATTTTTGGGTATTTTTCTTTGTACGAATTTTGTGTACCATCGTTATTTTCTCTACCCATCATTTGGATTCATATTTGAAGGAGAGCTTTAATTTTGAAACTCTAGGAGAGATCTAATGGTGAGACTAACCATGTAATGTCATATTTATGCTTGCTTGTTTGTGTTTTTTTTTTAATTTTTTTTTCTATGCCACATTACTAGAGCTTAAATTAGAGCTCTAGTTTTAGAATTTTTAATCACTACTCTTAAAATAAATAATTAAATATTGAGGTGGTAAAAGGGACCCAAACTAAATTTAAGATTATTGATTTGGAAAACAATATTATGTTTTTGAATTAATATTTGTGTTTTACAGATTTAACAGTAAATCCATCGGGTGGACATAAATCTACTAATACTGTATATAAAGTAAATAAGTCACTTGGTGTCTTGAAATTTCTTTTCTCCTTTTGCTAAGTGTCTATTTTCTTATTTAAAAGAAAAAAAAATTAGACAAAAAAAAAAATGAGACTTAAACCTTAGATCTATTTTTTAAGACACCATAAGAGGTATTCACTTTATAATAGTATAGATAGATAGTACATATATATATATATATATATATAGTGAATAAATTATTTGGTGTTCAAATCTTCTTCTTATGCCATCGTGTCTTTTATTTCTTTAAGAAAATATAAAAAATTAAATATTGAGTTAGTGAAAGGGTTTTGAACCTAAGACCATTGGTTTGGTAAGCAATATTTTTACCCCTTTTGCAATAGACACTACATGTTTTTAATTTAAATGTTTTTAATTCAAAATCAACATTTATATTTTATAAATTTAACAGCACGGGACACATACCCACTAGTCTATCTATAGTGAAAGTCTAAATTGGTTTAGTAAAGTCTTCCTAAGCCACTGGGTTTCATTAAGAACATAGTTATCATTTAAGTAACATACATATTATGGTATTAAATTTTTTATTATTAATTATCTGAATTGCATAAGCATTACGCATGTGACCCGCTAGTATTATATAAAGTGAACAATTTATTTGGTATCCAAGCCTTAATTACTTCTTCTTTTGTCATGTATCTCTTATTTTTTTATTTAAAATTTAAGAAAAAAATTAACTAAATGGGAAGAGTGCGACTTGCATCTTAGACCTTCGGTCTAATTAAGAAGATTTTTACCACCTGAACAATACACAATATATAATAAAAATTTTTTTTTGTTGTAATTTTACTTATTTGAATTGCACACGCATCGCGTGTGTCAACCACTAGTATATATGTATATATATATATATATTATAAAGCAAAGGTTGAACTTGGTATCCTGAAACTTCTACTTCTTTTCATGCCACATGGCACGTAAAAAATAAAAATAAGAAATAAAAAAGTTATATAACAAGTGCACTAGATTCAAAATCAAGACATTGGTTTGGGAAAGAAAACTCTGAACTTGGTATTCCAAAACTTTTACTTCTTTTCATGCCATAAAAAATAAAAATAAGAAATAAAAAAGTTATATAACAAGTGCACTAGATTCAAAATCAAGACATTGGTTTGGGAAAGAAAACTCTTACCATTTGAGTAACACAAATTTTGATATTAATTAATTTATTTTTTATTTTTATTTTTACTTACTAAATTGCACACAAATCGAGTGTGTCAACTATATTTATATAATCAAATAGATGGAATTGAAAAAATTACAAGGATTGATTATAGATTGGGAGAAGGGGCTTCCCATATTATTTTTATTTAAATTTTTAAAAAATGTAAAAATAGTAAAAAAAAATTATAAGCGAGTTTTGAGCTGAACTCAAGCTTGACTAATATTAACGAGTCAAGTCAAGCTCAAGATTGATTAGCTATTGAGTTGAGCTCAAGTTGGATAATCAAGCTCGATAAACAAACGAGCTGAATTTGAAAAAATTACATGGATTGATTATAGATTGGGAGAAGGGGCTTCCCATATTATTTTTATTTAAATTTTTAAAAAATGTAAAAATAGTAAAAAAAAATTATTACCGAGTTTTGAGCTGAACTCGAGCTTGACTAATATTAACGAGTCAAGTCAAGCTCAAGATTGATTAGTTATTGAGTGGAGCTCAAGTTGAATAATCAAGCTCGATAAACAAACGAGCTGAACTTGAGTTTTGCAAAGCTCAGTTCGGCTCAGCTCGTTTGCAGCCCACTCACCCCTTATTCATGATGAACATGATCATCAACCCTTAAGACTGTGTTTAGAATATGGATTTGAATAAAGATTTGAAAGGCAAAAGAAAAAAATAAAAAAATAAGACCTTTGGTCTAATTAAGAAGATTCTTACCACTTGAACAATATACAATATATAATAAATATTATTTTTTTTTTGTAATTTTATTTATTTGAATTGCACACGCGCGTGTGTCAACTACTAGTGTATATATATATATATATATTATATAAAGCAAAGGTTGAACTTGGTATCCTGAAACTTCTACTTCTTTTCATGCCACATGGCACGTAAAAAATAAAAATAAAAAAGTTATATAACAAGTGCACTAGACTCAAAATCAAGACATTAGTTTGGGAAAGAAAACTCTTACCACTTGAGTAACACATATTTTGATATTAATTTTTTTATTATTTATTTTTATTTTTACCTATTGAATTTCAAACAAATCGTGTGTGTCAACTATTAATATATATATAACCAAATAGATGGAATTGAAAAAATTACAAGGATTGATTATAGATTGGGAGAAGGGGTTACCCATATTATTTTTATTTAATTTTTTTAAAAATGTAAAAATAATAAAAAGAAATTATTATCGAGTTTCGAGCTGAACTTGAGCTTGACTAATATTAACGAGTCAAGTTAAGCTCAAGATTGATTAGTTATTGAGTTGAGCTCGAGTTGGATAATCAAGCTCGATAAACAAACGAGTTGAACTTGAGTTTTGCAAAGCTCAGTTCGGCTATGTTCATTTGCAGCCCACCCACTCCTCATCTATGATGAGCATGATCATCAATCCTTAAGACTGTGTTTAGAATATGGATTTGAATAAATATTTGAAAAGAAAAAGAAAATAAATAAAATAATATATGAATAAAATATAATTACATTACGAATACATTTCTTTTCCCTTTTCAAATATTTATCCAAATCTATACTCCAAACACAACATAAATTTCTTTCAGTTTCATTCACATAATGTTCTTAATTTTTATGTTTAGCAAACGCTATTTAATTATAGAGTAATAATATACAAATATAATTTTCATACAAAATTTCTATACAAAATTAGGCGACTTCTTGTAGTCCTTTCATTTCTAATCAAAACATCTACTATTATTTTCATTATTTTACGAATGTCATTGACACATTATTCTCTCTCTATATATATTTGTATAACTTTATGTTTGTAATTCATTTTTCTTCTCACATCTAAATTAAGTTCAAGTGACAAGACTTACGACATGAATCTTGGATCTCTACAATGAATAATGTTTGAGGGCCCGAAATTAGGGGCTCGAATTTGGCTCAAAACCGAAAACAACGTCGTTTTGGGTTTTGATTTTTTTTTTTTCCTTCCTTTTCTTTCTTCTTCTTCGTTGAGTTGAACAGGGGCGAGAGAGAGAACATAGAGGCGAGAGCGAGAACGCAGGTCGTCGTCGTTGCAGCTCGTCGGCGTCCCAGCTCGTCGGCCGATCTAGCAACTCGTCCCTCGTCGGCATCGCAGCCCCGCCTCCACTTCTGCCTCCACCCGCCGCCGCCTCCGCCTCCGCCTCCGCCTCCACCTCCACCTCCGCCCGATTTTGTTGGCCCCTCCAGTCGAGTTCTTTTTCTCCTTCTCCTCCTCCTCCTTCTTCTTCCCCCTATTTTCGAGCCAAATTCGAGCCCCTATATTCGGGCTCTGTAGCATTGCTGCTCTACAATACATTGCCTTTTGATGTTTTTGATTCAGTAATCTCAAGATTCACATTATTTCACCACAAACTACGACACGAACAATTCCTTGTTTAAGGATTAAAACTGTGATACACCCAAAAAAATAAAAATAAAAAAATTGGAAAAATTACAACAAAAAAATAAAATAAAATAAAACTCCCAAAATTCAACCCTTATAACAAAACAAATCTTGAATTTTTAATTTTATTAATTTAAATTCTAATCTTTCGATTTATTTTCAATCTAAAGAATCAATTTATTTCTATTAAGTAAGACATAAAAAGTTAATTCAATCATTAAACTCAATATAAGTGTATATAAAATTTCTAAAATACTATTTTTGTTAAATTTAATGATTAAAATATTATTTTTTCATCAATTTTACAGAAATAGATATAATTTAGATTGAAGACAAATAAAAAATTTATAATTTAAATTGACAAAATTAAAAATTCAGAATTTATTTTACGTACTAGTATAAATGCTTATAAGGCTTAACTAGTATCTTGAAGTCTCTAATTACAACATGCCGAGTGATTTTTTTATTATTAATTTCATTTTTAATAGATTTAGTTTCAGTGTTTTTGGTATGGTTTATTTTTTTATTTATTATAAAAAACATGCATAAAAATAAAGAGGTGATAATAAAAATAAGTCCATAAATGACTTATTTGAAATGTTCCCAAACCAAACCTTAGTTTCAATGCTTTTAAAAAACAAGAAAAAAGAAAAAACGTTATAATTACTTATTTCAAAATTATGGAGCTTCCCTTAGAATACAACTTCACATAGTTTAAAAAATATTCAATTTGTGATTGTAAGAGGGCCCACTTGAAAGATAAAATTAAGTTAAATTTATTCTTCAATTTAATATATAACCTCTAATTATTGGATTGAAATTCTCCTCTTCTTCTTCTTCTTCTTCTTCTTCTTTTTTTACATTTTTTTTTTTCATTTTATAATCTTCTTAAACCTTTAAATAAATCCCAAACAAATAATATTATACATTTGTGCATGAGAGAGTGATTTTCTATGTCAAAAATAAAAACTAGAGTTGATTTTGTATGTTTGTCAAAAGAATAATGAAAATGTTTAAGCTACACAAAAGTATCTACTGACTTCCCGAATCACAATATTATACGCTTGTGTGAGAGATAGTGATTTCCTATTTATCCAAAAATAAAACCCAGAGTTGATTTTGTATGTTTGTCAAAAGAATAAAAACTAACAAAATTACGTTTATATGTGAGAGAGTGATTTTCTATTATTTTATCAGAAAAAACCAACAACAAAACAAATAAATTATCAGAGCCAGGTTTCGATCCTGGGACCTGTGGGTTATGGGCCCACCACGCTTCCGCTGCGCCACTCTGATTAGATGCAAGACAAATTATTTGTAATTCCTTTATTTGGCATTTTCTTGCAGGTGTTCATGAAAAATCTATGAAATAAATGCATACATAACCAAAATAAAATTAAAAAAACTGATGTATAAACACTTAGATGCTAATATGAATAGATAAAAAAGCAAAATAGAACTCTTAGAGCACCATAATGAAGTGACTAAATTTGGGTGTTAATGTGTCATATAACATAAATATGAGGCCTTGTTTGACAAAGGTTAAAGCTTGATTTTTTAGCTTAAAATTTACAAAAAGATAAAATAGATTAAAATAACTAATAAGACAAAATGTTACATCAAATTTATAATCATTTTACTTTTTCTGTCACAAACAATACATCCAACTACAAAAAATTCTAACATCTTTCCAAACACAAAAATTTTAACCTACTAAAATAACTAAAAACTAAAATAACCTACTGAAATAGCCAACTTTCCAAATAGGGCCTAATTTATGTGTTAAAAATTTATTAATTTAGAGTGTACAATGATGTGTTAAAATGTACATTTAGTGATAGTTAAAAATAAAAATAAAAACAAAAATGACTAAATTTCATAAAAAAAAAATCACTCCAGTGAGATCCAAATTAATTGCCAAAAAATAGAAAATCCAAATATGATTAGGCAAAACCATTTTTTACCGCATCAATTTTTTTGGCTAAAAACTTAACCATTTTGTTGTTGTTGTTGTTGTTACCAGAGTTTATTAATCACACTAACCAAAATTCACAACTAAAAAATTTAAAACTATAAAAGTTATATAAATTGTAAAAATACGAAGAATCATAATTACAAAGTTAAATTACATCAACAATTTATCAACTTTTAAAAAAATACGAAATCAAAAACTTGTTACTCATATATATATATATATATATTAGTGTATACCCGTGCCTAAAGGCACGGTGTAAATAATATTGGGATTGAAATATATTTGTAATTTATATGTATTATACCCTTTACAGAATTCAATTAAAAATAACAACTCCCCCTAATCCTAATGCAAATTATGGAATAAACGTATAAAATTTATAATGTTCATTAAAATTAAAATGGTAAACTAATGTTCTGCAATTATAAAATAAAATTAACCAAACAATGCACACCAACTAGTATTCTGCAATTCTAAACAATTAAAATTGGATACCAAACAATGCACACCAGTGCTCTGCAATTCTAAAATAATTTAATTAAAACAAAACAACAAACAATGCACACTAACCAATCATCTGTAATTTAAAAAATTAAAAAATAAATTAAAGTCAAATCTTATAAAAAACTTTTCAAATGTGAATGTAGGACCAAAATTTGGGTCCTACTCATCACAGACCAGAACACCAACATTTATCTATCGTAGACATTGGACCTATATATACAAAAGAAAATGTATAGTAAGAAGATGGGTAAATTAAATAAGAAAAATTGTAAATAGGTGATAACTTTACAAAATATTTAAAAACTCACTGATTTGTAATTTTTCCAATGAAATAAGATGAGTAAAGAGAGCCCATATTATAATTTGGTGCAAATCTCCATCGTCCTATGAAAATAGAAGAAAAGAGAATTTTATTAGAAGAGAAGCAATTGATTAGATATATTTCATTGGTACAAAAAAGCATGAAACCTGTTCTAGCAAAGAAACATGCTGTAGATGAAAAATTAACAATTATACATGAAAACGTTATAAATCTAATTCATATACCATGAATAAAATATCACATTTAAGGAATTAATAAAAAAATCACACAGATATACAGATGCCAAACTACTAATCCACCAATCATTTTCCGCCACCAAATTTTACTAAAATTAAACAATTTATCAAAATGAGTTGTGTTTTCGACTGAAACTATCAATAAAACACATCAATCACTTAGTACTTTGCTTCAAAGAATTTAACTCCAAACATTAACTACAAACAGTTGTTTAAACTACAAACAACATCAAGAAAGAAGAGTAAATAAAGCATATTTCATATTTTAAATCTAGATTATTGTGTCCCTCATTGACAAAGCATATTTCATATTTTCATGAATAGAATAATCAAAATACTAAAGAGCAAAGCTAGAATAATCAAAGTACCAAAATTTAACAGAAAAACAAACGCTGATTTTGAATCAAAAAATAAAAAGGAAGATGATTTTTTAAATGGTGAAAGGATTAGGAGCAAATTCATATTTTAATGAACAGAGCAAAGCCAAAGCCAACCATATCTTATTGTGTTCTATGGTCTTGAATACATGAATTTCACATCACAACCTCTAGATTGTCAGGTCTTTGCTGGAATGATTCCCGGCAAATTCAATTCCTTCACTCCTCAAATTCTCTAAAACTACACAAAAAAATAAAAATAGAGTAGATGACTGTGCACCATGAAATGACATGCTATATATGAAAAAATGTTATAATTGAAGGACCCTCCCACCCTTCTAACCAACAATAGAATGTAGAAAGGAAAAAAAAAGGATTACAAAATTTTCTCAAAACATCACCATTTTAGGGGAGGCATTTCATCATACATGGGCTAGTCACCGTATCATAAACCAAAGAAAATTTCTTGACCCGAACAAATATTAACCTAATTTCTTTTAGTAAATAAATTGAATAAATAAATTGAACACACATACATGTTCAAAAGAGAAAGAGGACCAAAAAATGGACAATTGTAGAAAATGCAATAGATTAACATCTTCACAATATAAATTCCTACCATAATTCAAATTAAGCTCAACCAAGAATCTACATTCAATTTGAATGTCATGATCAAAGCTAAGAATAAATTTGAACAATAAGAAGAAGAAAAAAATGTGCTCCATATGTAATAGAGAGAAAGGGAGAATAAGAGAGAAGACATTGTGCTCCAACCACTAATAAAACTTGGACAGAATAGAAATTGCTGAGGCCATTATAGAATAAATGCATACGCAAAAACTCTGATTCATTTTGTTTCCATAAATAAGGGATTCTAAAATAAATGAAAAATTCAATATAAATATCTCATGAAAGGTTACCTGTCTGTGTGGATTGAATAGTTTTCTTGCCCAAGTATAATGAGGTTGGTAGGCTCCCATTGCAATCTCAGTGTCTCTAAGCCCTCCATTGAACACTGATTGATGTTTGCAGACCCTATAATTACATTCTCGTCGTCCACTATCATGCCTTTTGAATGTACATAAATCATGAATCTTTGGCTTTTCCGGCTCAGTGCCTAAAATACAAAAATATAGATCATTTATGTACATACTTGACATAGTGAAACTGGAAATTACAAAAATAAGCGATGAAAAATATTGGCTAAACAAAATGTTAATTTAAAAATAAAGGAGAGACCTGAGGACTGTTTGCTGCAGCAGAACGGTCTGTGCTTAAACTGTCACTGCTTACAACTTCACGGTTGCCAAGACAAAAGAAGTTCAAATAGTCTTGTGGGGTGTATTCATTCTCAAGCCCAACCTCCACTAAAGCCTTGTAAATGGTCTCATACATCATTTGCATTGTTTTGTTCTGTACAATAAATGAGAGATAATTTCAAAATCAAAAATTGATCCTTCTGAAGTATATACACTGCTGGGCAGATTAATAGAATTTTTTGATTTCCCATTGGAAATAAATTAATCCAATGAAAAAAAAAACCAATAAAGTTATCCATCTCTGAAGCTGCCTTTAAAATGTAGAAGTACAATGTTATGCGTTGAAGTCATAATTGGTTCCTACCTGCCAAAATAAAATCCTTTGTGTAGCAGCACATGTTGGATTGCCTTCTGGCCACATCGGAATAACAATATAAGCTACAAACCTCTCACATGCTCTGATTTTATCAGTAATTTTAAGTGCAATTTCCATGGGAATCAAAATGTTCGCACCTGCAGCAAGAAAATATTCTCACAATTAGTATTCAGTAAAGGAATTTCAAGCATAAAAGCTCAGGAAAGCATCTACTTATTGTCGTATCAAAGGCCACTTCTCTCTTAACTCAAACAAGATGTAGCAAATCAAAAGAACTACCTTATCCTATTAAACCCTCCACCGTAAGTAAAGACACAGGAAAAATCCTCAACTAGTCTCCTTGTTGGCTATAACCAAGCAAGTTTCAAAGAATTCCCCCCCCCCTCCCTTAAAAGCCACTTTTGCAAACCAAATTTCATGCCAAAAGTGACTTCAACTACCCAGTTTTGAGATAATCATTAACCATGCTCAAGTCCACCAAGTATTCTTAAATTGCATCAATTTTTTCACCACAATATCTAATATTGCATAACATAAACAAAAATGCCTGATAAAACTTTTTAAAGTTTTGGTTAACACAAAAATAAACTATAGAATTATAACGGTGCAAACTAACCAGTTTAATCTGGGTTGGGTAGTCTTCGGTCTATAGAAAAAGAAATATAAACATCATGATTTTTGCATATGAGGGAATAGTTCCTTACCTATGTCTTTATGGGAGCTCCAATTGTATGAAGACCCTATGAAATATTGATTTTCAATATAGATGAAATGCTGAGCAGAACGAATAGCCTTTACATATGCTGTATGTATGCTCATATCAGGTTCTGGTAGAGAAAGTAATCAAATAATATCCACAAAATCAAAATAACCTGTTCACAACCCGAATGTTAGGATTACAAACCCAAAATAAACAATGGAAAATAGCTCTAAAACAAAACCCTAAAATAACCTGTTCATAGCCCAATAGAGAGAATTATGAAGCGGGAAAAATGCAAGTTCGAGGACTGGAGAGGCAGACATAGACAGAGAGAGAAGGGGGAGGCAGAAAATCTTACCTTGCGAGACTGGAGAGCAGAGTTTGAACAATAAATCATCCGAAAAACTCCTCTTCGTAATTTATGATTTCAAAATCAAAACAACAATAAAAAAAAAAAAATCTGTTCACAGCCCGAATGTTAGGATTACAAACCCATAATAAACAATAAAAAATAGCCCTAAAATAAAACCCTAGAATAACAGAAAATAGCCCTAAAACAAAACCATAAAATAACCTGTTCACAGCCCGGCATAAAGAATTATCAATAAAAAATAGCCCTAAAATAAAACCCTAGAATAACAGAAAATAGCCCTAAAACAAAACCATAAAATAACCTGTTCACAGCCCGGCATAGAGAATTATGAAGAAAGAAAAATGTGAGTTCAAGGACTGGAGAGGCAGGCACACAGAGAGAGAGACAAGGGAGAGGCAAAAATCTTACCTCGCGAGACTGGAGAGCAAGTTGGGAGCGAGTGAAGAGGGAGGGTAGGAAAGAAGAAGAACAGAGAGAGAGAGAGATAAAGCCGAGTTCGAGAGGCAGAAGACTGGAGAGCAGCGGAAGATGGAGGGTAGAAAAGAAAAGAACAGAGAGGGGAAGAGAGAGATAAAGAGCGAATGGGGGAGGAGACGTGGGAAGGTGGAAGGCTGATGGAGAGAAATGTTTGGGCGGGAACTACATAGATCTGATCCATTGATATATACACAAGATTGATATAGACCATTGGATCAAAATGTATTTTTAAGACAAATTAGACATTTTCAAAAACCCTTCTCTCTTATTATATAGATATAATTTTTATATAAAATTTTAATTTTATAAAATTAATATCATTAAAAATATACCTTTAAAATTAGACTAATGTTAAATATATTTAATAAAAAATTAAAATAAATAAAAAGTAATTACTATGCTTTGTTATGTTTTCAAATTATTATTTTTTAAATATAAAAATTAATTTGATAAAATAAACACAAAAAAATAATATTCTGTTTGGTAACGTTTACGTTTTTAGTTTATATTTACAAAAATTTGATAAACTGATTTTTGTTTATTTTTAGAAAAACATAAACTACAAACACGTTTGGTAATTGACAAAATGTTTAAAAAAATTTAAAAATAGAAAAAAGAGTGAAAAATGACAAGTGGTAGCAAGTGGCAGCGGAAGACGATGGTGGAAAGTGGTGGCGGTGGGTGGTGGCCCCCTGCTGGTGGTGGCGAGTGGTGGTGGTGGTGGTAGTGGGTGGGTGACGATGGCGGGTGGTAGGTGGTAGCGAGTGGGTGGTGGTTGCAGATGGGTGGTGGGT